TATGTGAGATGATGATGTTGAAATATCAGCCAATAGTAATTTGTTTTACATATACAATGTTGACGCTGCCATACCAACCATTTGTGTTTTTTAAAGAATTGAGACCAAAATACATCCTGAATCAATTTCTCTGTTCTCTTTAAAGGACAAACTGTCATGGAGTCATTGTTTATAAATGATCTCAAACCAAGTCTGTACTGTCATTTCTTGAGGCTATGAGGTTCTCTGGAAATAGCTTTTATTTCAACACTGAAGCAACCTTCATGTTAAGTTAAGAAGAGCTGAAACTTACGAGGACGTCACTTTTTCCATCGACCACTCATCTTTTAAGAATGTATGGAAGAAGTCTATTGCTACAGCTGTATACTGCATCTGCCTTTTATAGATTAAACAACATTTTTAATGTTTTCACCTACATTTAACCTTGCATTCCTTTAAATGCAGTCATCTTTTTGAAGAGGTGGGTGATGTTTATGTATGCTGTACAAAAAAAAAAGACATAATTCATCATGCTAACTGGTATAAATGTGTTTTCTGTTTTTAGTTTCACTCATTAGCTCCAATGTACTACAGAGGATCGGCTGCTGCTGTCATTGTCTATGACATAACTAAACTGGTAAGCAGAACAGGACACTTACTTATGCCTAAGTCAGTGACAAAAAGGTAAACTTTAGTGGTGTTTGGTAGTGACATGAGTGGTTGGTTAGTACCGACTGTGCTGAACATATGTAACCAAAGAAGCCGGTTTCACACTGTGAGCCCGAAGTAACTTTCCATCACTCTGCTGTGCTTCCTTGACCTACAAATGTCATTCTTTCCTGGTCTGTTAATGGAAACTTGAATATGTGACAGGGGCTGAAAAAAATGTTGGGCATATTCTCACAGAGAACCAGTCCCAGAATTGACCATGATGTGTTCTCGCTGTCCAGGATTCTTTCCAGACACTGAAGAAGTGGGTGAAGGAGCTGAAGGAACACGGTCCAGAGGACATTGTTGTAGCCATAGCAGGGAATAAGAATGATTTAGGAGACATCAGGTGGGCTCTTTTTCTATTCTTTTTCTCAAGGACATTTAAGTGAAACTAGTGAGATGTGGCATAAACATTAGCGGCCTCGTTTGTAACAATGATAAACCTGTCGTCCTTTAGAATTAATGTGTAGGTGCACAATAAAATATAACTTCTTTTATGTTCAGCAAGAACTGTTCATTATTCACTGCAGCCCCAATTTATTACTCATGTTTTCCTGTGTCACTTCCTTTAAGACTTTCTGCACAGTAAACACATTAGGAAATGAGACGACTGTCCTTGTTCACAACCGTTTATTTCAAGAATCTGTATGAACGAAGCAGTGGCAAGATCAACCTGCGCCTTAATTGACTGACTCCTGTTATTCTGTGCGTCATCTTATGTAGTTGTCCAGATCTGGGTGAAAGTTATTGTTGAAAACATTGATTTGCCATCTGAACCTGCTCCACACTGACTGCACTGTTCTTCTCTTTCACAGGGAAGTTCCTATGAAGGAGGCTAAGGAGTTTGCTGAATCAATCGCAGCTATTTTCATCGAGACTAGTGCCAGAAATGCTGTCAATGTCGAGGAGCTCTTTCAGAAAATCAGTAGGTTTTTTGCTTCTGTACTCTGTCTGTATCGTCTGTCAGTGTATCCTGTCTTACATAGGAGCTCAGCCTTAGAGACAAAGGTTTGTGCTGCTCATTCGAAGCTCAGGTGAGGAAAGAAGAGGCAGCCAAGTAAACGATTAAAGAAAAAAGCCTGTATACTCCCTGGCTACATCCAGTTATATGTTTTCATTTTAAAACACTACCCTACTGTTTTAGGGCCCCTAAAACAGAGATTTTTGTAAATGCAGTTGTCCCCGTTTGAGTTTGACAACTCTGGGGTTGTGTTGTAATCTGGATGGACAGACACAATGTTTGCTTTCTGATTGGGCTCTAACTGCTTGTTTCGTGATCCTTCATGCCCCTATCGTGATGTGTACCTAGTCGTGGTTAATTCAGTACTGATAACCCATCGTGCTACAGGTTGCCTACCTTGTTTTTCTATGTTGGCAGCTGTTGTGAGCTAACAGACATTTTTGGTCACCCTTGCTGCTAAATTGCTCATCTGGACAGAGATGGTTTACCTGGTAAAACTCTGAAAACTTGTTGATGTGAATTGAGCCACAGAAACTGTAGTAGTTTCACAAATAACTAAATGTGAGTGGTGTTATGCACGAGAGACAGAAAAAAAGAGTGGCCAAAATGAAAGCAGGAGAGCTTCAGAGATCCTGACGTTTATTTCTCAACTGTAGGTCAACTTGCAGAAATCCTTGTTCCTGTATTTCCCATAATGCAGCTCAGCCTTGTCTTCCATTACACACTCTCTGCCTCCTAAATTGCCAATACTTTAAAACTTTATACACACAGTTCTCTGTAAGTTTTACTATGATGTGGAGCTTTATTTCCAATTAAACTGAACACAATGACATTTTGTTTGCAATAATATTCTAGAAATAAATAATTTTTTACTGAGTAACTGTTGATAATGGACCGTTTTAGTGTTACAATAGGCATTCTGCCGAGCAAAGCAGTCTTTTTTTCTCTCTCTCTTTTGGCCAGCACATGCATTGCTCTCCCTGACAGACCCTGTCTGATGGATATCAAGTTTTGTACCATGTAAACTTGTCCATATGGTGTCTTTTATATGGTAGAAGACACATCAGAAGCGAAATAAGTAGTTAACACCTCGGCTGAGTATTTTAACCTTCAAACTGCAGCGTACTAATGGAACAAAAATATGTAACTTCTGTACAAAGAGATGCATTTTTAAAGTTTAAAACAATGACAGCACTGCCAGATTCATCGCATTCTTAGTTTTTGTATGCTTAAGACTTCAACATCTGCTGTGGCTACTCTATAAATGAACATTATGCCTTTATCTTTAGGTAAACAGATCCCACCCCTGGAGAATCCTGAGGTGGACAGCAACGAGTCCTTCAAGCTCACTCGGCAGCCTGCTCCGCCCGCCAGGAGGTGCTGCTAGTACCAAGAGTGGCCGACGAGACGACTTCCCTCAGCAGCGAGGACCCCGCCTGCACAGCACACAGTCCACAATGCACACAGTGTCTTACTCCCGGGAAAGACAACAGAGTGGACAGACTGAGGTCAGCTTGCACGTGTGGTCGATCGCAACATGAAACAGAAAGAAAAAACCCGCCAACAGTATTATGTAGGTCAATGCACATGCAGTTTCCACAAGCACATTTTTATTTCATTTAGCTGTAGCAGTTTTAGCTCTGATGAAGTCGGTTTGTCCCCCTCATGTGGTGTTTTGACTGAATTACATTAAGATTCCTGTTTGTGTGATAGAGTACACAGCTCATTAGAAAGACGCAATTTTACCTTCTTTTACATAGTGCCTTTACAACACAAGTGAGCCAAACTGATGTGCTTTTTAAAGCCAGGTATTGTTTGACCTATTTTCATTTCAAGAGTCAACTGCTTTGTAGGTTTTCATTGCACTGTGGCTCCTAAATGACAAAATGAATGAACATTTTTAGTAGTAATTTCAACCCTCTTTGACTCATGGAGCTTTTGTGTACACATGTGTAGGTTTTTTTAAAAAAATTAGAATATTTGAGTAAGAGCAAACCTTGATCAAGTATTCAGTTGTAGCTCAAATGCAGCGGCTTTACATTCCTCTTAGTCATGTGTTTTCACGCACATTTGCTATAGATAAAGGGTTTAACTGTAATACTACAGGATGAACAGCGTAGAGGCCTAAAACATAGTTACAGTACGACACCTCCCCTGTTGAAACACTGTGACCGATACGAGAATTGTTTACATGGTGATTTGTTAAAGATGTTTTCTACATGCTGAAACGTGTTGTTTGAGATGTCACTACAGGGAATGACTGCATACGGCTGCCAAACGTGAGCTTTCCATGTATTTTACCTGAAAAGGGGTTACATTTATATTGTTGATAAGAGAAAACAACTGCATGTATTTTAGTCTAAACGTGTCTACAGCTGTTAAACGTTCCAAAAAGGCTGTGTTGTACAGTATATACTAACCCAACTCTAAAGAACTGTGGGAACATAGCGTTAACATTTTGAAAAAAAAAAGGGTAATAATGAAGATAGTCCTCAACCCATATGTGTAAACTGAGATTATGTGTCGTGTTGGCTGCTGTTCCTGTATCAGCAGTGCTCCTGGATTTGACCACTTGAGAAATTTATAACAGCACTTTTACATTTATTTAACACAGTATTAGTTTGGAGTTACCTAAAAAAAGAAAATACAGTTTTCTATAATGGCAGTATTTGATAAAAGATGGAAATGAACATGAAAATTAACCCAGAAGACAACATGCTTTTCTATAAAATATTGTTTTTAGTTTCGCATTTTCACACCTTAAAAACTTGTTTACATGTGCACTTCAATTAGTACAGATTAACAAATCATTTTAAAATGTACAGTTTTTATCAACATGTATGACGGAATAATGGAATTGAGTTTGTAGGTTCTTATGCAATGTATAGCCTTATAATTTCTGATCACACCAAACTCCATTCAAAAATCTGACAATTTAGTGTGGCCTTGCTAATTGGAAAAACAAAGCGTATATCTTCAGAAATATGATGCAATCTGACCTTTTTTCACTGTGAGGTAAATGTGTGTTGCTTATAATCATCAAAATGTAGATTTTGTGGCCAAGTAAACTGAAGTAATTGGCTTAAGCTGAAAATGAACAGCTGCTTCTTAAAATACAGATTTTTCAATGCAGTTTGGCATGATTGGATGTGTACCTTCTACATGACATGAGATGAGGTTTCCAATGATTGTTGGGTTCACCGCCACACAAGTGCCTTTTTTAAAAAAAATAAATTTTTCTAAATAATGGTATGACATGGCTGAAAATGCATACTGCCACAACAATGCATAATTACTAGTCTTAATGAGTACAGACTAACTGTACACATTACAGTCAACTAAAAACTGCCAGCCATCCTCATTCTGTATGCATAAGTCATGCTTCCCTGTATTCTCTGTAGACCAGATTAACTTCTGTATATTAATCAATGTAATAAAAGAAGTAATTATTCTATTTCTCTGGATTGTTTTTGTGTTTCTTAAACCCACTCTGAGGATTTAAAAAAAAAAAGTGTTTTGAGCTGTTCTTTAAAGACACTAGAACACTCTTTAATCCAGCCTAATTTATTTTGAACCACTACGATATGCTATAAGTCATAGTTTATTGTATGTGTAACATCTATCATATAGGAAGTTGACCTTCACTGTGACTGTGTTTGTGTTACAACTCATAGCAACGTGTATCGTGGACCAACATAAATGAGCTACTCTAATGTTAGACAAATCAATACTGAGCATCCCTTGGTAACCAACAGGTATGTATGCAATTCACCAGCATCTCTATACCGCCGAGCTATATTTGTAAATATATATAAGTTGTATGCAGATATTACAGTGACCTTCTGAAAAGCTGTAAACAGCACAAAACACATGCATTTTACATTTCCTTATTCAATACACTGCAGTGAATTTCCATTTTAGTAGCTTGCAGACAGGAGGTCCTCACTTTCCATGAAGATGGCTTTAACATTAACCACAGCTGTCAATGGTGGGATATTAATGGTGCAAACTGTATTAACCTTAACGATTTCTATCTTAAAGTTTGGAGTTATGGTTTCCAGATATGGCTGATTGTTTATGACTGGAGTCCAGGCATATGTGAAAGTTCTCCTGCAGCTTCAATAGTTCACAACAACAGTGATGTGAACACAGTGTGCAGGCTCCCATCTCTAAGAACTAACTGATGGAAAATGTATTTTTATGCTTTATAAAATCCGCCTCTATCACACCTACATCTCCTTGGTGAGTTCACAATAATGTGTGTCTTTGAAAAACATGAACAAACTGTAATGTGTTGATAATGTGTGTCTTTGAAAGAGCAATATAGCTTGAAATTATATGAGAAAAAATGTTTCATTTCAGTTGATTACTATCGATAATATAATAATGACCCATTTTAAATAAGTATCAGGAGAAAAAAGTCTTAATTAAAGCCGCAAGTGGCGATGGACGGGTCCTCGCCCTACGCTTGTCGGCCTTTGCGCACGGCGGGGTGTGGGGCAAACCTGCTCCGGGCAGAACTGTGATCCGGCATGTCGAGTTTGGGGCAGATTGGAGCAAGTGTGGCCTAGTTACGAGCCACTTCCTGTTTAGTGGCGAGCCGCGGCGGCGTGCGTGTTGGCCGGGGTGGAAACGCGCTCTGGCTGAGACTCGGAGCACGCGTGTAAAATTTCAGGCC